CCGCCCCGAGCCGAGCCCCGCCGCCGGCGGGAGCTGCCCGCGGTTCCACAGCCTCCAACGTGATGGTGTTCGAAAAAAATGTGGCTTCATTGCGTCACCGCGCCCGCGTGGGCAGTGACCCGCTCCGGGGTTTTTTTGCCTCTCTGCTGTGTGTTTTCGGCGGAGCAGCGGCCCCCTTGGGCGCGGGGTGCAGGGCAGGGGCTCCCCGCGCGGTTTGGGCGCTGCCCGCGGGGCTGCGCGGTGCCTGGAGGAGCAGCCCCGTTCCACGGGGGAGGCCGAGCCCGCGAGGGACGGGGGATCTTCCCCGTGACCCCCAGGGATCGCTTGGGTAAAGAAGTGTGAATTCCCATCAGAAATTCTGTAAGTTCTCTCCAGCTCTTCCTCTGGTTGGACAAAAACATCACTTTAGAGTGGTTACCCGGCTTGAAATAAAACGTGACTTTGACCTTTGCTTAGGTGGTCCCAGGTAAGGTTTTCTAACGTGGGCTTTCCTGGAGTACGGGAATGCCTTTGCAACTGGGATGTTTTTGAGAGCTGCTGCTTCTCTAGCGCTGTAGAAGCTCCCTGACCCTGGGTGTTGTGATGCTTTCCTGTGAGAAAATAGTTTGTGTAGCGAGAATGGTTAATGCACAGGGCCAGCTGATCCAGCAGTTACCTGCTGTAAATCTGCATGCACCTTATATCCATCCACATTTATTTGAAGTAACAGGTGGGCTGCTTTGGTGTATTTTTAATAGCTATCCCAAGGATTTGCAGTTACTTTTCTGTTACTCTCAGTAAAAATATGAATAAGTGTTTTTACACCTGCTTAATTGTAGCACTGCAGGAAAACAATTGGACTCCAAAAAAGCCTATGCAGGTTGGAAAATCCCAGGTCAGAGCTCCCAGTTCAGACTTGCTGGAGTTGTTAGTGTCATGGAAGCTCTGGGAGCAAAGGCTTGGGCAGAGGGGCCCCTGCTGCAACGGAGCTACTGTTGGGGGCTTCTGAGTAGTTGAAGATATGGCTGTTTTTGTGTATTGATGGATTTTTTTAATTGAATGAAAATTTTGCAGATGTGTAGGTGCATATAATGTTGAAAAAATGTCCGATTTTTGCAAAAGCGGGCTGTTGTGAACTTGCAAAACTTGGTTTAAAGCACTCCCTAGGTAAACCAAGAAATGAATAAGATGCGCTGGGTCCTTAGCTGGTAATTGGAGCCTGATGGCAGGTCTCATAGCACAGCTAATTACCGAACTGATATATTGTTTTATGAAGCTAACGACAGCGGCAGCGCGAGCTCCTCTCTTTCT